CGAAGATGGCTCCGGGCGGTCACTCCGGCAGCGCGGTGAGTGATGTCATGGCGAGGTCGGCATGGTGAGGCGCTGCGGACTCTAGCTCAACGTTGGGCATGGACGCGGCGAGGAGGCTCGGTGTGGGCGACACCGCTCCTCGGTGCTGGCTCGGGCAGAGCGCTGGTGGTGAGGCTCGGAGCAGCGCGCGACTCGGTGGAGAGCGGCGGCTATAGGGAGTCCGAGAGGGGCGCCGGCTGCTATGGTTGGGGACACGGGCTCGAGGTAGCGGCCGTGGCGAGCGTGCGGCCGGCATTGGCGGGACCGTGGCATGCGGTGGCGGCTTGGAGGAAGAAGAAGAGGGGCGACCGGTTGTGGCGGCTGAGGAAGGGAGGAGAAAGGGGCGGCGCTGTGGTGGCCTTTTATAGCGCTGCGCGCTAGGGCTTCTAGGAGGCTCCAGCCATCCTCGGCGTCCGTGCCCGGGGAGGTACACGCGGCATGAATCGAGGAGCAGAGCAGGGGGCGCTGGCGTGCGAGCGGCGGCGGCGCTTGGGAGCGTCTTGCTCCTAGGGTTGGAGTGGGGGCGCGGCTTCTTCGTGGGGCGTGACCGCTGTGAGTGAGCCTCGGCCTCTAGGCTGGCATGCATGGCGCATCACGGACTCTGGCGGCCTTGAGCTGAGCCACGTTGCTAGCTGGGCCGAGCTAAGGCTTGTCTTATTTGGTTGGGCCAAGGGAAGGGGTGAGCGGGCCGAAGGGAGGAGTGGTGAGCTGGGCTTCTTTGGCCTGCCGGTTGGGCCAAGGGATGGGTGCTCGGTTGGGCTCCCTGACTGTCAATGTGAAAAAAAAAAAAAGAAAGAAGGGGAGAGAGGGAATGCTGGGCCGGGCCAAGGCATGAGGGGAGAGAAGAGAGAAGGGAATAGATTTTTCAATTTATGTTTAAATGGTTTTGAATTTGGATTTGAGAAGAATTCACCACATCTTGAGAAGGATTTCCAAGGTGAAAAATAAAGCGGTGTTCGAGGAATCATTCGGAGAGATTCATATGAACTCAAGATGAAATTTCCACGAGTGTTCGGATGGGAATTTTTCAGGGGATATTCGGAAAGACTCGAAGGGGAAATTTGGGGGGAATATGCATGGAGTTTGAATAAGAATTTTCACTAGAGGGGTATTGATGGTACTTGAGATGTGAGCTCCAAGAGGGGGCTCGAGATGATTTCCACTGGCGACTAGAGGGGAGGGTCTTTTCCTTTGTTCTCCTACTCCTAGGTCTTATATGTGCGTACCAGCATGCATTAATAACATGCTTACTCATCGTGGTGGTCTACTAGGGGTTTTAGGGTTTAGGGACTCCGGTCCAATGGTCGACACAAATACAAATGGCAAGTCCGGGTTCTAGTGGGGTTCGGGATTATAAAGAGAGATTCACGGAAGACTCGAAGTAATCCCGCGAGGATCACAAGTAGGTTGCTATGGGTTGTGCTCTCCAACAATAATCAAGATTCAAACACAGGACAACTTGGAAACTCTGGCAATCACCTACAAACCATCTACATGTATGCAACGTCTTGTTAGCGAGTTGGACTCGTGTTTGACCTAGCAATTACATGTTTCACTCATTGCAGGAAATTTTTTAAAAAGTTCGTATTTTTGGCGTCTCCAAAAACCCGGGTTGTTATAACCACGACTCCTAAACTCGCGTAACGGCTTCACTTCTGACTGTGCTCCAATCAACCTGGGACCGTGACTCCTAAACTCTCGTAACGGCTTCACTTAGGATCCACGAGCTCCGGCTCGTCTGATTCCTGAACTAACTAAACTAACTCCCGCAATCCACGGCATGCACCGACACTGGGTCTGTTCGTGGTCCTACCTCGCTCGATCCCACGGCGCGCATCGGTGCCAAAGATCAGTGAGCTTTGACACGACCGAACCGAGCAATCACCGTCCGTGGCGCGCACCGACGCCAGCGGTTTCTCCGAACTAACCTTCTCACCCGATCCGCGGCGCGCACCAATGCCGGGATCAGTAAGTTCTGTCTCATCCACGCATAAAAAACCCCTTGGCTGCACAACGACGCCGCGGTTAAACAAAAATCCGTCTCAAATTAAACACCCACTGAAACAAACCCCCAGACGGTCTCGCTCGAAGCGCGGGGCTCGGGGAAACTACACCCAGAGTGCGCTTCGCGCACCCACCCAAACAACGTGAAAACCCCCACCGGTTACTTCGCTCAACCGCCCGGGGGCTCGAAACTACACCGGCAGTGCGCTTCGCGCACACCCACCGGCAGACGAAAAATCCCCGACGATTTCATTTCAAATCGCCGGGGGCTTGGGGGCTCTGTCGGGTTCATAAACCGGGGTCCCTCGAGGACCGGCTTCTACGCTTGAGGCTCGGCCCAGAAAAGCAAAGATGTAGATCGTGGGCGGCCCAAGAGCCTAAGACACGACGGGGGAGGAGGGGCGGGTCGGTCGCCGACCGGAAGGTCTACCCAAAAACAGGCGCTCGCTCGTCAACCTCTCCGGCCCACCTCTCCGACCGGAGCATTCGCTTTGGGCACCAGCCGCCTCCGGGCGGTCTCCCCGATCGGAAAGGCCTGGCCCAAAGCACCGCTTCCTATTCTGACCCCGCGACTCCGATCGGGGACCCGTAGGAAGCCTGCTTGCCGCCCTTCTCCGACTAGCACGGTAGGTACCGACTGGGGCCATCCGACCGGGGACACCCGCTCGGAAGGGACCAGGGGCAAATGGAGAAGGCAGTGCACAAAGTCAAACCATGATATCGGGACCATACTCTGTACGGCTGCGGGAACAGTGCTCCTCAACCGCCCTGACACAAATAGTATTATAGGCGCCGACATTTGTGTCTACAGTATTGTAGGCGCCATTGAACTCCCATACGGCAAAAAAGCCTCCCGCATACCTCTGGGCATCGATAGTGGGCACCAGGGTTCACCATGCCTGGTACACAGGGTAGGGCTCCTCACATACCAATAGTATCTTACAGGTACCGACATCCACCCTTCCTAAAGAAGCCAACACAACCTCCCATATGCACCTGACATTCTACAGTGACATCAAAAGTATTGTGGGTGCCTACCATCATCGCTACCCTCATCGGCGTGGGCAACAAGGCTTAGAAACATCCGTACACTCTCCCTCTCACCGGTAAGGCCATCTCCTTTATCTATAAAAAGGGGATGCGCTCCCTCCAACGAAGGAGGTCCACTTCTTCAAGTTCAGGCTCACTAGATCGATAGCTCAAAAACCCCTCAAGCACACGCTTGAACACCTAGCTCATAGCAGAGTTCTGGTCGCCCTCGGCCCTTCCGGCCGGACCCGACCGGGCCTCTCGTACACCCCTCCTTTCTCCTTCTCGTTTGTAACCCCACTACAGACTTCGAGCACCTGGGCTCAGGAATAAAGTCACCGACCGACCCACACTGGACGTAGGGCACGTTGCCTGAACCAGTATAAATCCTGTGTCATTAAGTGTTAGGCCACCTCCGATCACAACGTATAGCAAAACTACAAATATTCACTAGTTGGTCATTTTCTGTACCGACAACCACCATGCCGAACCATAGCCACATCAAGCACCTGTACTGGTAACAGGGCCACAGACTGATCAGTAGCAACTGTATCAATTGATTCCAATACCTGACTTGGAGGAATGTGCTTCTTTAGCTGGGACACATGCACCGCAGGATGAATTTGAGCATTAGCTGGCAGGTCTAGCTTATAAGCCACCTTATCAATCGTCTCCAATATTGGAAATGGTCCAAAATATTTGAATGATAATTTGTGGTTGCTCCTCAATGCCACTGATAACTTCAGGTAACTTCAGGTGCGGGAAGGAGCTGTCGGCGTGGGGGAGGAGGATGTCGGGGTTGGAGGAGGAGCCGCCGGTGTGGGGGGAGGAGGACGCCGGAGTGGGTGAGGGCGCCGCTGCCGGCCAGGGAGGGAGCGGCGAGGCACGTGCAACGGGAGGGGCGCGAGAGGCGTGGGAGCAAGCCAGCGGACGCCCACGATGGAGAAAGCGCGAGAGGAGCGAGAACACGAGCTAGCCGGCGAAGAGGATAAAGACGCCCCATCCGTTTTGTTTATTAGTCATAACACGCGTGGAGATTGGTGCGTCCAGCCACCCAAACGCCCGATTCCTATCATTATCGTTTTAAGATCCGCTACCGTCCGGCATTAGTTTGAAGTCATTTTTCTAAAGCCCGGAGAAAATTTTACTAAGCAGTGAAACTGTGAAAACTAACCAATACGAGTAGTTCAGACTTCAGAGTGGAAAACTCACGGACATCCGCACGGGATCCCTGCCCAGTGTTCGGCTGTCCCTGCCCGGTGTTCGGCCATCCGCAGGGGATCCCGCCTGTGGCCGCCCCGCCCCCGCCGTCCCACTCCCACCCACACGAGCCCCGTTTCGTTGACTCCGTTCCGGCACCGCAGCGCAGTCCCAGTCTCAGTCGCATCCCAACCCACCCATCCGCTGCGTGCCTGCGTCTTTGGCGCCGCTAATCCTAGCTCTGACTCCTAAACCCACGCCACGCCCGCTTAAACACACAAGCGAGAAGAAGCTTAACCCCCCGCTCCCAGCTCCCCTTTCCCTTCACAGAAAAAAAACAATAATATCCCGTCCGATTCCACCCGAGTCCCCACCACCCGTGTCTCGTCTCGTATCGCAATTCTACGCAACCGCAGCAAAAAGGAGCCCCCCAGGCGATTAAAAAAAAAAGAGAGCAGGGGGCGAGGCCGTCGAAAAGCGAGCGCAGAGTGGGAGAAAGGGTGATTCGGAGAGATCGAGAAAGAGCAGGGAGGGAGGCGGAGGGGGACGGGGGCGGCGGAAGCGGAAGCGGAAGCGGAGCCTGCGGCGCTGCGCCCGCCCGCCCGAATCCTCGCCGGATCGCCCGACCTGCCGGGCGCGGCGGCGCTGCAGACGGCCGGATCCGACCGATCCGGCGGGAATGGCGGCGGCCCGTGGAGGGATCTAGCGGAGTCGCGGGTCGCGTGTCAATGGCGGCGGAGGCGCGGGGGCGGTGGGCGGTGTCGGCGCTGCTGCTGCTGCTGCGGCTGCTCCACCCGGCCGCGCTCGTGCTCGCCAACACCGAAGGTGCGCGGTGCGACCGTCTCGCTCTCCCCCTTTGCTCGCCTTGCCTTGCCTTCCCTCCGAGTTGCTCCGTCTGCCGCTGGGGGGTTTCAGGGAGCTGTGCCCTGCTTCCACTGGACCTAATTCAAATGGGGGTTGTGGGTTTACTACGCCTATGCTATCGACCGAGCGCCGAGTGCCGTTTCCGGGGTTTGGTTGGGTGCCATTTCTGGCCCTCGCGTGCGGGTACGAGCCGTTTCTGCGATAGGCCAAGCAATTTCGGATTTACTCTGCAGCGGATTCGGGTGTTTGGCAACTGGCTGAGCCGAACAAATCCGCCCTTCTTTTTGCTGCAAATTTGTGTCTATTTTGCTCTCAGTGACCAAAATTTAGAGCTAGTGTCTTTGCTGTTAGCATGCTTTTAATTGGATTCCTACCCCCCCCTCTGAATTCATTAGACTTTGATGTCCAGGCCGCCGCCCCCGTTCTGGTGTTTCTGCTGCGCGCCGGCGCCCCTGTGCGTTCCGATGACTGCTGTCGCTTAGTACTACTGTTGCATTAAATTGCTTCGCTAGATTCTGCTTAACGTTTGCTGCGCGCTAATTTGCTCGGGCAACGTTAGTATAGTCGCGTTACCCGTGGTTAGGCTTGATTTGGACGTCTCCTGACGTGGTTTTGTTGTTTCTGGATATACTTCTGTTTCTAGTTGGTGGCTGGCCAATTCTCAGGGGGGGCCTTGGTGTCTGTGATTGTTTATGCTACTCAGAGTGTTTTTTTCACCCTCCTAGTCCTATGATTTGTTTGTTGGGGAGTGGAGGGAGGGGGATGAGCAGCGGTTTATGATTGGTTTTCAGTTACTGATGCTTGGGATGGGATTGGTTAGGAGTTAGGACTTTGCATGACTTGCTTGTGTTGTTTGCTTGTTTCGGGTGCTGTTAGGTTCACGCTGGTGGCGCTTGCTTGAGTTTCGGTTTGTTTGGAGCAAAGTGTTTTGTCATTGAATGGACAGTTGTCTTGTTGCGTTTTTGCCTTGATGCTTCTACTAATGAGAGGGGAATTGTTCAAATTCTGAATTGTAGAGCTGAAGCTTTGTTTTACATGATGTCATTAGCCCATTAGCTACAAGTACTAATGGAATGGATGTTGATATTATCTTTTCATTTGTATTTGATGATGTGGATTTTTTTTTTAAATTTATGGCTACCTAAGTCCTAAAAGGGATATTGGTTGCCACAACTCTACAGCTTTGCTTATTGATGTATCCCTTTGCTTGTTTGCGTGACATTTCTAACAAAAGAAGTCTGCAATTTCCATTCTGCTATTGACAGGTGATGCCTTGCATAGCTTAAGGACTAACTTAAATGATCCTAATAATGTTCTACAAAGTTGGGATCCCACTCTGGTCAACCCCTGCACTTGGTTTCATGTTACCTGCAATAATGACAACAGTGTTATCAGAGTGTAGGTTCACCTTTTTCCTCCACTATATTTCATCAGTGAGTTGCACCAATTCTGTATTTCCCAGTTAAAGTTTTTTTTCATTTGCAGTGATCTTGGAAATGCTGCGCTATCAGGAACTTTGGTTCCGCAACTTGGCCAGCTCAAAAACTTGCAGTACCTGTAAGTTCTCTTCATACCCATTTTGCATGTGGTGGAAGATTTTATTATCTTTCTAGGTGAAAACATTTCAGGCATGATTGCTCATATAAGAAATATCTTGTTCAGAATACTTATTACATAGATGAAAATAAGGTTATGCTGCTGTGTTGCTCTGGCAAGGCATAATACCTAGTACATCTTCCTGTCAAAATAAAGTGACTGGCATATTCTGTCTTCAAATGGCGAGCCTGTCTTGTATAAAATGACAATGCTGTTGGCACTATTAACTGTGATGACATCACAGTAACATTCACCGCCTTTGTTAATCACTAATGACCTCAACCATTTACTGTGGCATGCCATAACTCAGTTACATTGTTTTTAAAATTAGTCACTGCCTTCATATATTATTTTTTATGCAGGGAGCTCTACAGTAATAATATCAGCGGCACTATACCTAGTGAACTTGGGAATCTTACAAACTTGGTCAGTTTGGATTTGTACCTGAACAACTTCACTGGTTCGATACCAGATTCATTGGGGAAGCTATTGAAGCTGCGGTTCTTGTAAGATATCTGCATTGTTTTTCCCTACTATTCACTAAAGTAAAACTTGTTAAGAGTAGGAATATTTTGGCTTACGCACACTGAATCTATCTCAGTCATCGTTGGTTGCTTCATCCCATCTATATGTGATGACCAAGGGAGGTCTTCTATGACGTTGAGATTTCACTAGGCCACATACATGCGTAGCTGGTTTGTTAAAATCATGATTTTATTTACTCATGAATGCAGTTACTTTGTTAATTAAAGGTTAAGAATGTAGCTGCCTAGCCTCATTGGGTCCCATACTCCCATTGGAAGAAGTTAGATTTTCCTGGACAGAGTTGTTATTCATGGCAGCATTGAGTGATGCCTTGTGTTTAAAAGTGACTCTTGCCGTATGTATATTGTATAGTTAGATTATTTATATCCAGCAATCTGTTTTTTTATGTTTTAAGGTGTCTATGTCTATCATTTTGTTAGGTTTTCAACTTATTAATTTCTAAGTTGTCTTATTTTTTATGTAATTACCTGTGGATATTTCTAATTTGACACATCTTTGAACTTTTGTGCGGAGCATAGGCGTCTTAACAACAACAGCCTTTCTGGTTCAATTCCAAAATCGTTAACTGCTATCACTGCACTCCAAGTTCTGTAAGTATTTGTTTCTCAGTTTGCATACTTAGTTTGGTTTTAAATTTTTTGAGCGAAATAGCATACAGCAGGGGAGGCCCCCACTGTGAGAGTTTGGTTTTAATTAGTAAATGTAAAATGGAAATTAAATGTTTCTACTAAATCACAGGGATCTGTCAAATAACAATTTGTCTGGAGAAGTTCCATCAACTGGTTCCTTTTCGTTATTCACCCCTATCAGGTAAAGCTAGGTTTTTTGCTGAAAATTTCATTTTTAAGCCTTAATGCTTCTGCTATTCACACTTGTCTTCTTTTGCAGTTTTGCGAACAACCCTAACTTATGTGGTCCTGGCACCACAAAACCTTGTCCTGGTGCTCCTCCCTTTTCTCCACCTCCTCCATACAACCCTACAACCCCTGCACAATCGCCAGGTGATTCATTCAGATTGTTCAGTGAAATCCTTGATTTCAATAGGACCTTTCCTACCTTGCTCTTTCATCCAAATGACATCCTAATTGGGATCTGTGTACCTCCAAAACAAGCATAATGCTGTCTAGGCTGGAGAGCGATAAGGAATAACTGCACTTTTTCCTGAAAATTAAGTTGAAAATAATAATTCATAGTAAGGAGCCAGATCCTTACAATTTGCCAATTTGGTACTATGATTCTGTGCTGTGCTGTTAGTCTGTGACTCAGCAATATGTACCGCTGTTAACTTGCTATAGTGGGATACTGGGATAAGACAGGAAGCTACATGACCTGTACCTCGTGTTATGCAGGCATGCAGCACAAGTCAATAACTACCTTCTCCTTTTCTTTTGTCCCTACCCTGCATTAGTATGTCAGTAATGAAGGGTATGGAACATATGGTTTTGCTGCTGACATCTTATTTTGTGCAGGAAGTAGCTCTTCCAGTACTGGAGCAATTGCTGGTGGAGTTGCTGCTGGCGCAGCCTTGCTATTTGCTATTCCTGCAATTGGTTTTGCCTATTGGCGGCGCAGGAAACCGCAAGAGCATTTCTTCGATGTACCTGGTAAGTATTCAACAGCAGGAGAATAACTTAGGGAATAACATTGAATCAACTTAATATGAGATTTCGAATGTGGCAGCTGAGGAAGATCCCGAGGTGCATCTTGGCCAGCTTAAAAGATTTTCACTACGAGAATTACAAGTTGCAACAGACGGCTTCAGCAATAAGAACATTCTTGGAAGAGGTGGATTTGGCAAAGTCTACAAAGGACGGCTGGCAGATGGATCTTTAGTTGCTGTTAAGAGACTAAAGGAAGAGCGCACGCCTGGTGGGGAATTACAGTTTCAAACAGAAGTTGAGATGATTAGTATGGCTGTACACAGAAACCTATTGCGTCTTCGTGGATTCTGTATGACACCAACAGAAAGGTTGCTTGTGTATCCATACATGGCTAATGGAAGTGTTGCATCACGTTTAAGAGGTATTTTTTCCTAGTATAGTGCTGTTCACATACTTTTATTTGTATCTTTCATGTTACACCTCTCTAACAGCAGTATCAAACTCTGAAGTTTTTATTACTTTGGTTTTATTTTGTAGACCGGCCACCAGCTGAACCTCCACTAGATTGGCAAACAAGAAGAAGGATTGCATTGGGTTCTGCTAGGGGCCTGTCTTATTTACATGATCATTGTGATCCAAAGATTATTCATCGTGATGTCAAAGCTGCAAATATTTTGTTAGATGAAGACTTCGAAGCTGTGGTGGGGGATTTTGGTTTAGCCAAACTAATGGATTACAAGGATACCCATGTAACTACTGCTGTCCGTGGAACAATTGGGCACATTGCACCTGAATACCTTTCAACAGGAAAATCCTCTGAGAAAACTGATGTATTTGGCTATGGAATTACGCTTTTAGAGCTTATTACAGGACAACGTGCCTTTGATCTAGCTCGCCTTGCTAATGATGATGATGTCATGCTTCTTGACTGGGTAATTAACTATGTCATTTCCTCTGTTCAAATTGCAACCTAAATGTGCATGCCTTTTTGTGGCTTCCATACTAGGCAGGGGTTGGTGGTCACTTTTTCCTATGCAATCATAAAAAAGTTGCCAACCATTTCATCCAATGACAAATAGAACTTTGATAATGTCTAAGAAATAAATATTTTAACTGAATTGGTGCATTGTGACAGGCTGATATTTGTTAGTATTGCTTTAGCTTGTTGATAATTTATTTCATTGCATTCTTTTGATATGACCTGATTTGGCAAGCAAATTAATATCATGATTATTTGCTTTGTGCAGGTCAAGGGATTGCTCAAGGAGAAGAAACTGGAGAGTCTAGTCGATAAAGATCTAGAGCACAACTACATCGATGTTGAGGTGGAATCTCTGATCCAGGTCGCGCTGCTCTGCACGCAGAGCAACCCCATGGAACGTCCTAGGATGTCAGAGGTTGTGAGGATGCTCGAAGGCGATGGTCTCGCCGAGAGATGGGAGGAGTGGCAGAAGGTAGAAGTAGTACAACAAGAGGTCGAGCTAGGCCCTCATCGAACTTCGGAATGGATTCTCGACTCGACCGACAACCTCCACGCTGAACAGCTGTCAGGGCCAAGGTGAAGGCAGCTTAAGACCATGGACTCCCACTAATTATTGTATTTTGCAAGGGCAATAGCGATGCGTATCAATCATCCTAGTAAAAAATCCCCCATTTGTTCACACCAATCGGTGGGTGAAGCGAAGATGTGGTCAGCCATGATGTGCTTTGGATATATATTGGTGACCATGGCCGTTGAGTTCTTATATGCGAGGGCAGCAGAGCTCGAGGAGCTAATGTCATTTGCAGTTGCTGCATGCACCAGTGCTCCTGTATTTGTAAAGGTTGGAGCTGAGGAGCTGCGGCTATCATCTGGGTCTGCGATAAGTTAATTGTACTGATAGTTGACATCTAACTATTTTGTGTATCAAATGTAAGGTCGGAACCATTTTGTATCTCCCCTCCTACTAAAGGATCGGATGATATAGGTGTGCCTATGAACCTGTTCTGGCTGGCAAGGATAACCAGAAAAATATGCGTGCTGATTGTTGTAGTTATGTCCGTAGTTACCTAAGGGTTGGGAAACCCATTTTATATCGATGATCTCTCCATTTTCGTGTTCAGATTTCAACTTACAGGCCCTTCCAGTCTTGTCGCTCGGTAAACTAGTCAAAGCTCCGGATGAACTGTGCATCTCACATTCTCACCCCAATTTCTTGCTATCCTTATTCTTGCTCTGAAATTAGGATATGAACTCACGAACAATTATTCTTTGTTGGCGCTTTTAGTATTTCCTCCTTTTCTTAATAAATGCGTGCATTGCAAATATTGTCAGCAGATTTGCACTTGAAGATTTGCCACTCCCATCGTCTTCATCTGGTGCTTGAATTATGAATTTATGGTAACAGTAATGCTCTCTACCGATCTTCCGTCTAGCCGGACACGCGCCTTTGTTGGGCCTGCGGATCAGGTCTGACCGGCCTAATACGTGGCTTCACGCCGTCCAATTATTGTATCCACCTCGAATATCTAATACTCCATGCTGCCTCCCAAAATAAAAATCTCACTCCGCAAGCTACACGTCGCAAGCCGCACACACGTTCTGCTTCTCCCAGATCCAGTCCAATTCCACTCTCCCCAAGTCCCGCAGTCAAAGCACCATCGCCGATGGCGTCTCCGCCCACTCAGTCGAGGTCTGGACCCCCGGCGACTCACCGCGGCCCACCGCTGCTCTCCTCTCCTCTGTGGCCGCACCCCAGCCCTCATTCGACATTCGACCACGCCTACTGCTTCTCCTCACCGTGGCCCTCACCGCCGCCATGACCTTCGTCCTGCTCCGCCCACCCCTCACTGTCGTGACCGCGGCGTCCGCTGCCACGTAGCCGCTCTCCAAGCTCCCCAAACCCGTGGTGTTGCTCATATCGTCGGATGGCTTCCGCTATGGCACCGGCATCCTCCTCATCACCTCCTCCTAGGCTAGAGATGGCAAGGGCGTCGTGGCCGTGTCATACTTCGTGACCGCCTCGAGGCTCGCCATACATGGTGGTCGCCGTCCACTAGAGTGTCGCGCGCTGACATGTTGCAAACGTATTTTTTAAGTGTTTCAGTTGTTTCATATGCATGTTGCAGGTGTTTTACGTGGATGTTGCAAAAGTAGATCGGGATGTGCATATGTTGCAATGGCTATATACGTATGTTGCAAGCGTCTGTTTCAAATATTTCAGTTGTTTCAGACGTATGTTGCACGTGTTTTATCTGAGTGTTGCACATGTTTCACACTTATGTTGTAATTGTTGCATCCGTATGTTGCATATGTTTCAACATATGTTGCAGTGTTTCATCCGGATGTTGCATATGTTTTGTAATGGCTACGCACGTGTTTTCCTTGTGATTCAGACATATGTTGCAAATATTTCCTCTAGATGTTGTAAAAGTAGATCTTATGTTGCACATGTTGCAGTGGACCCCATTTGTAGTGGCCGCCTACTACAGCTGCTGGGACTACTTGCATGCGCATAGGTGTGGAGGGGGCACGAGCAGAAGGCACGATAAACCGTATGAGCGCAGATCGAGACGGAACGGCGCAGCACACGGAGCGACACGGACCCCATGAATCAAGCGCAGGAGTGCGACGTGGGTGTTCGGATGCTAGACCCGTCCGGACGTGCGGGCGCTGGCCTTACCTTATCGTAAAGCTCGCCGTAATCCACCCGATTCTCGCAGCATCACACCGCGTTCTATTCGAGATTTAGATCACAGTGACAGTGTGGACCAGAGCCTGAACATTCGAATCGGGCCGTTCGTTTGTCTAGGCAGCCTTCCATTGCACGGACGCGATTTCTTCTCCTCCAAAAACCCCACTACCAGGAGAGGCCTCTGAACTCTGTTTTGTACTTGTGACCCTTCAAACCCCACCGCCGCCCGCCGGTTGTCTCCCAGCTCACCGCCGCGCCCTCACCGCCGCCCCATGCTCCTCGCCCCCAACCTCCTCCGCCGCGCGCGCGCACCACCCGGCGTCCCGCCCCGCCGGCACCTCTCCCGCCTCCTCGACCGGTACGGCTTCGTGGCCCCGGCCTCCCTCACCCCGGCCCCGCGAGAACCTCCCAGCGACTCCGCCGCCGCGAAGAAGCGCCGTGCGAAGAAGCCGCCCTACCGCCTGCCGTCGTCGCTGGACCGCGGCGGCCGTCCGCCCGCGCACTCCGACCTCCCCTTCGACTTCCGATTCAGCTACACCGAGAGCACTCCGGCCTCCAAGCCCATCGGGCTCCGCGAGCCCAGGTACTCGCCGTTCGGCCCCGGGCGGCTCGACCGGCCCTGGAGGGGGCTCTGCGCGCCCGCCGTCGACGCTACCCTTCGCGACGTCGAGGCAGAGGATCCCCTTCCCGACGCCGAGAGAGGGCTGGAGGAGGCGCGCCGCCGAGAGCGGGAGCGCGTGCTGGGAGAGCCGCTCACCCCCGCGGAGCGTGCATTCTTGGTCGACAAGTGCCAGAAGAACCGCACCAAGCGACAGATCAACCTTGGTAGGATTTTGCTGGAGCAGCTGTAGCCCGTGGCTTCGCTGATTTGGTGCCTTGGGGGTGCATTTCAAACTGCTGTGATGAATGATGTTGACTCGTTTGTTAATTTCTCTAGGGAGAGATGGGCTTACTCACAACATGCTAAACGACATTCACAATAACTGGAAGACCTGCGAGGCTGTCAGGATAAAATGCCTCGGTGTGCCAACGGTTGATATGCAAAACGTGTGTCATCAGCTTGAGGTAGCTACATGTCTCAAGTCTCCTAGAAAGCGTAGCACTCTTACTCTCAGTTGCAGTGACCATGTATATACAAATATTTAGGAGCTATAGTTTGATATTACTGGTTGTAACATTTGATTATTGAGCAGAAGCATGACTATGGCAACTTGTTGTCCAGGATAAAACTGGTGGCTTGATCATCCACAGGCATGGTAGCCTGTTGATACTGTACAGGGGTAGGCATTATAATCCAAAGAAAAGACCTGTTATTCCGTTGATGCTGTGGAAACCTGCTGAACCTGTTTACCCAAGGCTGATCAAAACAACAATAGAAGGGCTGACAGTTGAGGAGACAAAGCAAATGAGGAAGAAGGGCCTACATGTTCCTGTTTTGACAAAGCTTGGTAATTTTGCTCACATTCTCCACCTAGATAGATATAACATATTGTAAATAAGTGTATGAAACAACCATCCTATCTCACAGCCAAGAACGGATACTATGCTAGTCTTGTGTCAATGGTCCGGGATGCATTTTTGATGGATGAGCTGGTACGAATAGACTGTAAAGGATTGCCAAAAAGTGACTATAAGAAGATTGGAGTCAAGCTCAGGGTGAGTGTATGGGTACATATTGAAATTGCATATGTGATTTGAAGACGATTTATAACAGAGTATACTTCCCACCCTCTTATTTTGGTGTAGGATCTTGTTCCTTGCATTCTTGTCTCATTTGACAAGGAGCAAATTATTGTTTGGAGGGGAAAGGAAGATGGAAGCCTACAAGATCAAACACAGAAGCCATTCCTTTCATTTATTGACTCGGATGGTGCATCAGTGAAGGATGAGACTGGTGATCAGGAACAAATACCAAAGGATTGGTCTTCTGATGAGTGTTCTGGGACCAGTAGCTCTGATGAAGTGCCAAATGACGAACCAGTAATTTCTGAGCTAGACTCTTCCAGGTCGATCTGACATATCCATAATACACAGTTCACATAGTTGCAAGCTGTTACTGGACATCAACAATTGGGAGTTGGCAAGTCCTCAATGTAAAAGCTTGTGTGTTCCCTATCCATGATAGTTGTATTCTATCACCTGTAGCCATGGCAATTTCTAAGCCTTTCATGTCCACCACTGTTTATGGGCAATGTATTTTAACCCCTATACATAGATTGATAGAAGTTGCTATGGAAGGATGGAGCAGACACCTGACCTGACATGATTGTAATTTGAGACCCAGGACATATTTTACAAGCCTCATTTGCGTTACACAATAGCATCGTGTAAAGCTTAAGATCATTGATTTTAACCCTGCTATTCAGTTACTTCTAGTTCTAGCCTTGAATATTCTCTTTGGTCATGTTGTTGTTCAACTGTCATTTGAGGATTGTTTGGTCCTTTTTTAATGTTGTTTTTGGGCCATAGTATTTATCAGATACCCCTTGGGCCAGGGGGGTGGTGGCGGAGTGGTGTGAATTCTTGCCATTAGCCTTAAAGTTGAAGTCCTGCATCTGTATCACTTTTCTGCATTTGTTGATCAATGCATGGTGTCCCTTTGCCCTTGGCTAGTAATAACGGCAAGTCAACAACTCAGGATCAAACAATCCATCCAAAATGTATGTTGTATGATATTCAAGGAAAACAAAGTTGACAACAGGACAGTTTATCCACTGTTTCTGGTACATCTGCACTTCATGCTCATTATACCTTGTCTTTTTTTAAAAAAACTTAAAATAAAATACTTGTCAACTTCCATGATTTCTCCACTGATAAAGTTGCAATACCAGTGGACTTGGTGGTGAAAGTTCGAAGCTAGAACTGTCGATTATGAACCATCACTGGTAGTATTATCAGTGTCTCAGTGATGATTTGCAAGCCAACGGTGATAATTCCCATTTGCACTGAGGAACATATATGCTTTGTCCTGTTCATGTCACAGGCAGAGTGTTATGCAGTGTAATTGTTAGAGTTTCAGTCTGCACAGGGAAGCTCTTATGTTTTGTTAGAAAATTAAACTAAACCAGAAATTTTTGCTGACGGTTTGTTCTAGTTCATCAATTGACACATTCCAGTTTTACCTAGTAGAAAATTAGTTAAGCTAGGTACCTAACATTTGGGAGGGTTCCTCCTCAGTTGCAGTTAGTACCATGACAAACATCGGGGGGAGGGTTCCTCCTCAATTGCACCTGCATCACATGATAGTTCAACAGTGGTTTTCCAGACGAATTAGTTGTTGCTGTTGGATAAACAGCTGCATAGAATGTATGCATTGCATTCAGTGCTTTATCACATAATGGTAGAAGATGGTGCATCACTTCTGATGAAATAAATACTTGGTGTCCCTGCTTCTCAGGCCGGTTTACTTACCTCAAATCCGCGCTTCAAATGAATCTGTTCAGCAACCAAGCCATCAGTTGTACTTCAGATCTTGCAGGAAACCAAGCTCAACATGGCAACTACTTTTGCCGACTCTGATTACCAGTCAGATTGTTTTCCTCCCACCCTCATTTTCAGCACCAGATGATCACTCAGCATGTAGTAAAAACAGTTGAACTGGAAAGTGGAAACATGGGGAAATTCTCCTTGGATCGTCAAAAGATGTTTTTTTAAACTCCATTCAAACTATGTTTTACTTCATTGGTCAGGCCAAAGATGTTTTTCATCAGAAAGAGCAGGGCAAGTTTTGAGCAAGGCAGCATCATTAATCAGGGTTCTAGCAAAACTAAAATTTTCAGGGTTCAAGGGGTGAGGAGTATGAATTCTTGCACTTGACATTGAATCTTGAAGCCCTTATTTTGGGCCTGGTTAGTACTAACAGTTAGTCAACAGCTCAGTCTCACTCAATTCAACCTAGGTTAGACATTGGAGGACAACAAACTCGATGACAAACATGGATTGTGTCTGTCTGTCTATCTGACAGAGTGACTCAGAGTTCGATTTCCTCCGATACTCACTTTGGGTGACTGCATTTCAGTTTTATGCAGGCAAACATCTCCGGGGATGGGCCATTCAAGATGAGATATTAGAGGAAACTGAACCCTGTTCCATGTCTTCCAATGGATGGTTCAGTTACCTCTAATCCTCACTTCAAATGGCACATATGAATCTTGGTAGCATATCTCTTCATGTTGTCTGTAACCACCAGGCTATCGACTGAAGATGAGATATTGGAGGAAAACAAACCGACCGGCAATCATGTTTACCCATCGAATCCGATGGTCAATCGGTTTGCTTTCCTCCAACTCTCACTTTCAGTGCCTGACACTTGCTAGCTAGGTAACAGGATGGAATGGGAAGAACATGAACTAGCTATTGGGAGGTGAGAAGCTAACCCTGTTACCCTGCACTGGCTGTGAAGGCGTTGCTCTGCAGCTCGACCCAAATTTATAGGCCTCCTTGAGAAGGCACCCTTGGGAGTTTAGGACTCAGGAGAGCAGCAGCATCTGTTTTCTGTTACACCTGCCCTTCATATAGATTAATTATGCCTTGCTGTCCTTTTTGTTAAAAAGCTGCAAAAGCATGGCGCCTCGCCCTGTACTGTGTAAGCGTGCTTGTCACAGACTACTCACATGCAGCTGCGGGGTGTTTGGATGAAGGCCTGGGGTGGAATTGCCTGGCTTGGGAGCTGCCTGTGATCTGCCTGTGCACCGTTTGGTTGAGACCTTGACAACAAGCCAGGCGCAGGCAACGCCAGGCGTAAGAAATTGGTCTGGAGCACAGAAGTTGCCTGGCCTAATCACATGTGCAGCTTAAATCTACGGTCAATCAACTAGCTTTTGTTCATGATGGAGTACATACTATACGTAGCTTTCTTGCAACAAATAAAATAATTATTTCTAAACTGCACAAACTATTCTCTTGTGATTTTTTTCTCTTTTATCTGGGTACACGGTCGTCTATGAAAAGTAGTATCTAACCTTTCCCCTCATTCCTAGGCCTAGTTTAGATTATAAATTTTTGCAATCTGAACACTGTAGTATGTTTCGTTTGTATTTGATAAACTTTGTCCGATCATAAACTAATTAGACTCAAAAGATCCGTCTCATGATTTACAACCAAACTATATAATTAGTTATTTTTTTACCTACATTTAATGCTCCATTCATGCGTCCAAAAATTGATGTAATGGAGAGAGAGTGAAAAAACTTGGAATTTTGAGGCGATCTCAACAAGGCCCTATACTACATTTTCTGAACCCACAGCTGCCCACGTCGCCTGTTTACCCTGTCCGTTCGATTTGCCATCAATGGTCTGCGTATCACAGCCTCCACCTCAGACTTCTACAGCCCTCACCCACGTAGGGCTACGGGATTAGAAAATTGCGCATCGCCAAGCTTCTGCGACGCTCGCGACCCCGTGCCCTCCGCCCCTTCCCAAAGGGATTTTTAACTTTTTTTTTTCATCCATACGATGGCACTCTTCCATTTGCTAGTTTTACGTGTGCTCCTACACAATTGCTATTGCAAACAGTGAACTTCCTACGCTTTTGCCACATTCGCTGATGGCGTGGCAGCGAACCTAGCAATCTCTACAAGGCATGCGAAATTGCTTGTTTACCCTGCTGCTTCTCTCTCCCTCCTCTCGCTGACGCGTGGGCCCCACACGTTAGCTTCTCCTTCAACCCCATCTCTTCTGCGTAGGAGTCAGTGCCGGTGATGGTGGCCGTTAGTGCCAGAGCTTCCCGGCTCCCTCCTCCCCGGATGAGCGCAGCTCCACTAGCATTGGCCGCCCTTCGCCATCGCCGGCGCGCCTAGGGGGAAGCATGACGCGTTTGCCGTCGTCGAGGCCGAGACCTCCCACCGCCTACGTCGAGTCCCGCTGCCGCCGAGCTCGGGCCCAGGCCTTGGCTTCTTCGTCAACGCGGGCAACAGCGAGGATGGGAGCAGCAGATCCTCCATGGCTACAAGCGCGCCGCGCGTTTCGCTCCCGCGATGTGACCACGCCTTGGTGGCGCTCTCCCCACGGGAGCATGAGTGGGGACGGGCCGCCAGAGCCAGAGCTTCCTAGCCCCCTCCTCCCCGGACGAGACGCCTCTACGCCTGCGCGCGAGGGCAAGGATGCCGCCGACGGATCGGTGGAGGCCGAGTCGGGTGAACTCACGCACGAACTGGACTCCGACCGATCCCGGCTGACGGAGGCCAGCGCGCGAGCTGCGGCGCGCAAGCACCACCACCACCCGCGCGAGCCCGTGGGTGCTCTCTACGCAGCCTAGAACGGCACGTAGTGGCCTAGCCGCGTGCACTCGCGGTGGTCATGGTGGCTTCGCCGGCGGCGGCGAGCTGCGGTGAAGGAGCCGAGCCGGCCAGAGGAGAGGTGCGAATGGTGAGGCGCGGTGCAGTGGAGGCGGCTGCGCAGTCGGAGGGGCAGAGGAGGGACGAACGAGGCCCCTCCGGTGTCCTCCGCTTCGGCAACGACGACGGCCATGGAGGTGAGGCACGGTGAGGAAAAGAGATGGGGTTGAAGGAGAAGCTGACGTAGGGGGCCCTCGCGTCAGCGAGAGGAGGAAGAGGGCCCACGCGTCAGCGAGTGTCGTGAGAGAGAAACAACAGGGGTAACACATGTAATTTTCGCATGCCCAATAGAGGTTCTAGGCTCTGCCACGCTGGCATGCCCACCTGGCGTGACACATCAATAAAAATGGTAAAAACACAGGAGATTCACTATTTATGGTGGCAATTGTTTAAGAGCACCTGTAAAGCTAGCAAACGGATGAGTAAAAAAAAATAGCAAAGGGAGGAGTGCCATCCGGATGGCAAAAGTTAAAAATCACCTCCGCAAAACCTCAGCGCCCCGGAACCCTCCGCCGCCCCAGCCTACCCTCAGTGCCGCGGGCTCAGCGGCGCGCGAGCCGTCCAGCACCTGCTGCCGCCTCGGCGTTATCCCCGCCGTCGCCGGGCATGGCATATGTAGCCCACCGGAGTCAACCTCCTCCGCTCCATCTCCGGTACCTCGGACCCCACGTTGTCGCGCCGCTCCCCGCCCCTGCCAGCGCCGCCGTCGCTCCGGACGTCCTCGCCGCGCCGCCTCACGGGCCGTCCCCATCGCCTAGGTATTCCGGATCTGCGTCGCCATGTACGTCTACCTCGCATTCCACCATGGACGGCCGAATCTCGCGCTGCCCCGCGGCCTGCGCCCGCGGTGCTACCTCACCGCGTCAACGGCTCCTGCGCCGCCCACGCCGAATCCACGGACGCACCGTCGGGCAACCTACAGCTGTCGCACATCCTACAGGCTGTCGCGCTCCATCATAGGTAACATCATCTGCGAGCTCAGTCCTCTAGAGTTCAGAGTTTATACCTCCATCGTGTTCAGCTCAAATCCAAATCTATGATGCGCACAGGTTATACCATACAAAAGGAGCAGATCCAAGAGAAGAGCTTCCGCTTGTGGTTACCAATTTGAATGAGAGTGTTTAACGTCAGAAAGATGCAGGTCTGTATTTCTACCTTCCCATCGTAAACAGCTTTGTCATATATTGCTCAGGTTTAAGCAGATTTTGCTTTGTAAGACCAAGTATAGCAACTTTATTTCTATTTCCTGTTATGTATGCAGTAATTCCTGTCAAGGTAGTTACTGAAATCTTTTTCTCCTCCTTACAGCCAGCAGATCCATATCCTACATGTCATGAGGCCTTTCGTATTTGCTATATGCTAATCTATATCACTTATTGTTCCATACTACCTATGTTCATTGTCATCTGCTTTCCAACCATTGCATGGTTGCTAATGCAGTCACTCTGCTTTTTTACCAGATTTCTCAAAGCAAATAGATAAATGCTGCACCAACTGGAGAAGCCCACAAAAAGCGTAGGCCTCAAATGTTGGAGGATTCACAAATCGCAAGCATTGCTCCATTGCAACCCATAGGTCTCCTCTATTAGCGTCACTTTTAGTACTTGGGTTTTAGTCGTGCCTCCTAAAATTAGCAGTCTATTTTATTCATGCAACTTCTAATTCATATAACATTTTCTTTGTCATGCACTTCTTTGCAGAAACTTCTATGAATGATAGTGTGCTGCATGGAGCACTACCTCATTTTAGTGATGCCCTTCCTATGAGTTCGTTTATAAATCTACCCGTCCTGTTTGATGATGTTCATGCAATCACCGTACAGGTACAATCTTTGTCCTTTTGTTTCTCAGAGTTATGGATAATAGTTTGAATGCCTTTTGTCAGATAGTTCAGCACATGTTTGTTATTTCATGGATAATAGTTTTAGGCTCTTTCAACCAGTTGTGTACACCTTTCTTCAGCTGTTGTGCTGTCTGAACCAATTTTATTTTTGCCTACTCAAAGTGATAACATCCTCATAGGCGGAGCGAAAACAATAAACGTGCAGTATATCATTTAAATGTGTAGTTCTTAAGGGATATACATTCCCTAATACAATGCAGCTGCAGTAAATGGAACCATTTGCTTCATTTGGTTTACCTAATTTTTTTTGGGCTAGCCTTTTCCTGGTTATGATAATGATGGCTACCACTCTACTTACATTCTTCTGAACATTGCAATAGACTGCGATTTCTGTATTGCCTTCACTAACAGGCATCAAGTTCTCTGGTCTAATTTTCATAGGGATTCAAATTGTTTGATTCTTCATTTAAATTATTTCATCATGTGAATTCAATGCAAATAAACTGATTCCCACAAACTTGGTGGTGTTTTTTAGGGAGGCATGGCGCTGTTCTGATGCAACACTTATTGTGCCTTTCGACCAGTACGACAATAGACAACTCAAGGTTAGTACTCTGCTCATACATTGCTTGGCCTAGCAGTGCAATATCAATTTTAGTTCCCCACACCTAATTGCAAATGAAAATTTAATGAACCTTGATACCTTCTGTTGAACGAAAATATGAATTAGGACTAACCTAAAATTATATGTGCTTTCAAGTTAACTCTACTTTAATTTGCATAGAGTAGGATGTGCCGCTGACCTGCCAAAGGCAACATTATTCTCCCAGACAGATAATTTTGTACTTGTCTTTATTTTTTCCTAAAGTTTTGGAAAGCCCTGCTCAACACCTAGATGTAAATCAGTTCTACAATAAGCAATGGCCTGTGGACTGGTCTTTTTATCTTTCTTTGCCCAAAAAAAAAGACATGGTTTTGTCTCGCCATTTAAAATAGTTTATGAAATTATTAGAGTTTGGGACCCTACTCCCTTAACTAAGTTAGAAGAATGCAGAGTTTACAAAATTATCTACATTAATTGCAATTAGGCAGTACAGGTTTTGTTCAAGGAGTTCGATTGGAATGTGATGAGGCTGAGTTTAGCATATAATATATACACAGCTGTTTAAGATCCTCACAGTACATTGAACTATGGAACCTTCTATAGTAATTGCATTTTTGGCAGATTTAAGTAATGATTTAATAGTGTTACATGGGCAGAAAGTGGGGTCGAAATTGAAACCAAATTTGAAATGTACGCAATAAACAGAGATAGTCAATTGCATCCTTTCAGTGATAAAATATTTTATTCTTCGCTGAAAGTACCATATGACTTTTACAGGAGAAAGAATTAGACTACTGCCAAGATCAGTCGTATAAGATATTTTTTGTTTGGACAATATGAACTTCCATCTAAAATATACACAATCCGCAGATACCTCATTTCCTGTATGTACCATTTTATCTGCTATATTTAGCCATGAACTCACACTGCAATACATGTTTAAATATTTATGTGCTTATTGTTTGCTAACTGACATTTATCTCATGCCTTACCTTCTTATCCTACAGTGCCTTCAATTTGCCAGATGTTTTACGTAGAATATATCCCAGATTTGCTAAGCATGAGGAAGAATTAGAGTATTTTTAGTTTTGGGACAACCACATTGTATTTTATGATGAGAACATTGTACAATGTGAACAATTCTCAGAGGTACCAGGTGCCAATATTTAAGGATACTAACATGTGTAATGTATTCAGACTCCTTTTATTAGTAAACTTAGTGTCAGAGCTAACATTATTGTATGTTGGGCCAGTGGTATGCTAAAAAAGGCTGCATGCCCTCTTCATGCATTTTGTGTGCAGATTTTTAGTTTGAATGCATTTCATGTGCACCAACCAAGGTCTGAATCTGATGAAAAACAAAAGGCTCACTATCCTTGATGTATATAAAAGTGGCCCTCAGTAACAGCTATTTTTTCCCTCAGTAACAGCTATTTTTTTTGCTTTCCTATGATTAACTGCTCCTCTTTTAGATTTCTGTGCTTCTTATGACTCAGAGCTTGCTAGCCCGCGCAACTGCGCGGGGTTCCGGCTAGTTAATATTATTTATATACTTAAGCATATTATTCTTCTGAAATTAATATTACTTATATACTGAAGATATTATGTCTTCTGAAAATTAACTTATTACCATTCCATTAGACAAGAAAACATTGTTATATCTTTCATTAGTCAATCTAGCCACGGGCTTCCAACCAAACAGATCCTCCCAACTTGCCTGGCCAGACAGATGTTATCAAATTTTGAGGCGTCTTCCAGGCAACACTTTTTGTTAGGCAGTCATTCAGGCTCCAACCAAACCGGCCCCTGCTGCCTGCTCTCATGCTCTGTCTTCAGTTCAGTTCACCATGAACTAATTTTGAGAAATATTTTACTGTGTTTTAAAGTTTCTTTGTAGTGCAAGGTGATATAGAGACACGGTTTACACCCATTAGATAAAGAGCACTGCTGCCATCACATATTCACATGTCAGTAAACTGTGGAATTTCTTCGCTTCTGTGGCTTATAAGTCAACTGATGCTGTTTTGTTGTGAGAGAAAAATACTATATCATGGCTGATACGATCAAGCAAACAGGGTATGACACGCTACGAATTCATTTGGACACACGGTCCACGGCTGAAATATATAGTTTTAGGGTGCATCTCGCTGTATGAAACAGTAACGCTGGCAAGCGGGTGTTCGTCCGCCAAGTCGCTCCATTTATTGAGCCGTGGCGCTAGCCCAACTACTCCCTCCTATCTGTTTAGGAGTTTCTCAAATAAAAAAAGAAAAGAAAAGAAATCAGTCTTCCTGCCTCGCAACGCTCTTCCCTTCCCCATCGCATCGCGACCAGCGCTGCGCCGTCGCTCGCAGCCCCGTCGCCCACCAGCGCAACCGCGCCCCCACCGCCTCCTCATTGCTCCAACCCGGCATCGTGCCGCGCCTCCGTGCCCACTTGCCGCGCCGCCCACTCTTGTTCCCTCGCACCTGGACCGCCGAGGACCGCCGGCTCCTTGAACTCAGGGTGGGAGCCGATCGAGGACCATCGGCTGCCCTTCTTCCGAGATCTGTCCGTCACCTCCCTGAACTCGATGTGGGTGTCATCTTCTCCGCTCTTCGCCTCCACTCGCCGGCGTAGCTCCATTCTCGCCCCGGGCTGCTGCCTCCAGTGAACTCCACACGCCGATGAGCCTCCATTCCCCAAGCAGCAAGGAGATATTACCCTGAGAGCGCATGTTGGAGAAGCGTATGTTTCAAGTGTTTCAGAGGTACGTTGCAAGTGTTTCATAGGATGTTGCATTTGTTGCAATGGTTGTACACGTATATTGCAAACGACTATTCCCAGTTTCATCTGTTTTTTAGACGTATGTTGTAAGTGTTTTATCTGTATGTTGCGTATGTTTGCAATGATTTTCAAGTGTTTTTAGGTGTTTTATTTGTCTTCTTTTGTAGTCCATTCATTCCAAATTGTAAGACGTTTAACTTTTTTGGCTCCAAGTTTGACCACTTGTCTTATTCAAAAAATTTGTGCAAATATAATCAAATTTAAGTCATTCTTGAAGAATTTTTATTAATAAACCAAACCACGACGAAAGAAGTGATATTTTACACAAATTTTTGAATAAGACAAGTGGTCAAACTTGGTGTTAAAAAAGTCAAACGTCTTACAATTTGGGATGGATTGAGTAAGTGTTGTATCAAGATGTTTCAAAAGTAGATCGTGTGTTACACATGGGATGCGCGTGGGAAGTGAAAGAGGCGCGAAGCGTCCCCGCTGGTGACGTCCGCGATGCGGCGCCCGCATGATGCGTGAGGCGAGACGCAGGATGCGAAGCGATGGCGTCCGACAATGCAGGCTCCACGTGGATCGAGAAATGGGGTGGATGCAGGCTCCGCGTGGATGCACGAAATGGGGCGGACTGATGTATGAACCACGGGCGTCCTTGTACGGGAACTAGAGAAAGTACCGTGTTTTTCAGCCGGAACCGTGTGCTGAAATTGTAATATGCGACGGCATAATATGTCTATAATAGGCATTCACAACTCTGAAACGTAATCTATTCCGAGATTTTTTTTGAGAGAGAACAGGAGGTGCTTCTACTGAAATATATTAATAAAGGATAAAAACGCAGTAGTACAAGGAAAAAAGACAGGATGCAAAGCCTGGGCAACGAGGTCAGGGAAAAAAAGGAAACAAAAAAGATTTGCGACTCGACCTCGACCCCTTCACGCGGGAAACAATTAATTCCATCCGCGGAACTCGCTCTATATATATTTCGACGCGCCAAACTGGATGGCCGCAATACCACCATCCACCAACCCGCTTTGCAATCGAATTCTTCTCCCTCTCCGCATCGACGACCCATCTGATTTTGATCTGAGGCAATGGAGGCGGAGGAGCCGCCGCGTCGCGGGGGCGGCGTCAGGCGCATGAAGCTTGTCGGAGGGCCAACAACGCCTTGTCATCTCCGGTGTCCCTGGTGATCGACCCGGCCAGCGCCGTCGTCGCCCTGCCACCCCTGGTGGGCCGAGGTCGGAGTCGGACACGGCGCGCGCGCGATCGGGAAGCTGTCCCTTGACAACCCCATCGCGCCTGTTCGACCAGCGGTGGAGCTCGGCGGCGACGGCGAGTTCGTCCTCCGCCACGACTCGGCGTGGTCGTCCACTGTCCGGTTGTATGGATACTTTGTTGACACGCTAAATACAGAAGGCGAGGGAGAGGCGACGACGGCGAGGAGGACGTGTTTCGTGGAGGACATCCGCGCGGAAGAAGTGCCCGACGACGAGGAGCAGGATATCTGCTCGGAAGAAGTTCCCGACGAGGAGGACATGGACGCAGAAGAAGTGCTCGACGAGGAGGAGGAGGAGGAGGTGTTAGCATAAACCACGTCATGTACGTGCATGGCGTGTGTGTGTCAGGTTGAGTCGTCGATGGCGCGCGTGTTCGAGCTCGCGTTGGAGTCCATTGACCGGGTCGAGTCCGTCGTGTGGGCGACGTGCGGACGTAGAGTCAGTCCAGGCAAGAGTGCGTGCTCTACCTGGTCTAGTGCATGTGTGTGCATGCATTCTATTTTAGGATTGCATAGTCCGTTGTTGCTAAGTCCAACAGTAGCATGCAGAGGTGTGTGGCTGTGAGCACTGAGGACCGCTTCTTGGGATGCTACGCGTGGTGGCGCTGGCGTCTCTCGAGTTCGTGGCTCCTAGAGAAGTGGACGGAGTGCATGCGTACGTGCGGGCGAGTTGTTGCTCGCTGGTGTGTTGCTGGGCTATAAAGCCGGCTCGTAAACATTGTGTGAGTTGTCCCGAGTCGTGTATTTGAATAATAGAAGCCGAGATATAGGCGTTCGTCGCCGCGGCGTTTGCGCCGGCAAGTCTATGTCTATTTTTCCATCGATCCTCGGTTCCTACAGGAGGTGCCAGTGGAGTACGAGCCCCTCACCGAGGAGGACATGGCGGGGCGATACGACAGCGATAAGGGCGAAGACGAGCAAGATCGTCATCCGCGCAAGGCCGGTGACGGAGAGGTAGCCGCGGAACAACATCGCGCTTGTCGACGCGCCGGCCGGGGTCGTCGTGCCCGATGGGGAGTTCCTTGGGCCACCGCAGTTGGCCGCCGTCAAGAACACCGCGGGCTTGATGCGGATCGCGGCCGGGACCGGGAGCCAAGATGGGAATAAGGAGATCCTCGTGTTGTACCGCTACACCCGGTTCTCGAGGACATGGAGCGGGCGGCGCGGCGTGGAGGCGTGCAGGAGCACGAAGCTGCACTGGCTGCGGTTCGCCGTCCCGGCCGCCGGGGACATGGAGAGCGCTCTGGCGTGGGCCGGTTCGTCTCTTGGCCCACTGATCTACCCTGGCCTCTTCGGCCAGGAACTCGGGGACCTGTGGTCGAGCCTGGCGGCGCCGGCGGTCATCAACGCCAAGGCCATCCCGCCGCAATCCACGCGCCTCCAGGTGGTCGTCGACGTGGGCATCCTTCGGCAGGAGGACTACACGGCAGAGCGCATGGAGCACGTGCGCGGCGCGCTGGAGGCCACCGTGGGCGAGGCGTGGCCCGAGTACTACCACGTCAGCATGGAGCTGCACCTTCCGGAGCCGGTGCGGCGCGAGGAGGGCGGGGACGACGGCGCGCGGCCGGCGAAGCGG